ATGTAAAAAACACAAAGGCAGAAATGTCAGAGGTAATTAAACCAAACGATGGCTTAAACCCCTGTAGAAATCAACGTATCGGGTTTAATCACTGCTGCAGCCAGCGCAGGGCTGCGAGGCTGCGAAAGGCCGCTTCCCTGGATTGTTAACAGGAAGTGCGTATCTTGAGCTTGATTTTGGTTCAGATGCTCCTGGGAGAGGTGTTGAGGGTGGGGTGGGGGTGGGGACCTGGAAAAGAAAAAAGAAATAATAAAATGTTATTTGAGATAATCTCTTCTTGCCCGCCCTGGAGCCATGCGGCTCCCTGCTTGGGGCTCTGCCCCCCCTCCCGGCGCCCAGGAGCAGGCACAGTGCTGAGTGTGCTAAATTAGGCCATTAGAGAAATTCATTTCTCTTTATTAGTCTGTGTCAAATCCTTTTTATTAGTGGCTGGAAACGACCTCTCTTCCTCAGTGAAATGTCATGCAGGTTCCCTCCTTCTATTTGTTCTGCACTGACGAGGCTCAAGCTCTCCCTGAATTGAGCGGTGAGATTTATTTCCTCCAAATTTTGAACGGCTTAAGAGAGATTGGGGTGGAGGGGGCGGTCAGGCGGAGGCGACAGGGGGAAGAGGGGAGAGAGCAGCGAGAGCAGGTGAGCTCCTCTGGAGGTCAGGTGTCCTCTGGAAATAAAATCCAGCGGCCATCTCTCACATCTTGTTCCTCATCTTCTGGGCCTGGGACCGAGTTTCCAGGTCCCTACTTCTATCTCTCTGATGGGGGAGATCTGGACAGCAACACCAGGACACACTGAAGCTCAGGGGCCATATCCCGTGTCTCCCTGGAAACCCTTCTTCCCCTTCCATTCCTGCACACACAGGGACATTCATGTCCCTGCTGACCAAGACACCCAACTCTCGGGGTTCCTGCCCTAGTCACCCCATCCTGTCCCTCCCCAAGCCTGCATTAGGGCTGCCTGCCTCATCTCCAGCCACAGGCAGTGATGTTGGGGGGTAGCTTAGAAATACAGGTCCACCCTTAGTTGGACAGCTGTAGGCTGGGCAGCTGGGGAGGGGCTGGGCTCTGGGCTGGGAACAGCCTTGGAGAAGCCCAGTGACTGCAACCACAGACCCTGCTGAGTCACTGGGAAGCTGATCCTGGTTCTCAGGGGTGATGCAGTGTCTCAGCGGTCCCTACTCTTGAGGTAGCAGGGAACAGTCTGGATTTACAGAGGGATCCAGGTGGATAGAGCAGGGGAGCCACAGGCTGGTGTAGTCCATGTGAAACCTGTGGCTGAGCTCAGATGCCATCTGATCTCCTGGGCTCAGGGACCTGGGGGTGGGGTAGGTGGAACCCAGCCAGGAGCCTGAGAGGGTGGGGTGTGAGAAGGGAGGGTTTGGAGCTGAGAGTTTGGCTCGGGTCAGGAGAGACTGAGAGAAGCAGCCATGCCAGCCTCCGGGAGCCTGCTCTGTGCTCCGTGGCCCTCGTTAATTTGGGGGGGATGGGAAGTATGTTTCCTTCTTCTGAGAGATAGCAGGAGCCCCTAGAAAACACCCCCAAATATGCCCCCCACACACATTCTGGGGAGATCTGATGCCTGGAAGTGAGAGGTTTATGAAAAGGACCTGTGCGGTGGCCAGTGTACATGACAAGGCCTCCAGCCGCCCTCGTACCTGCACCCCACCCAAGGCCCAGCTCTATCTGAGACTGTGATCTGAGTCCTGTTCACCTCTCCAACCTCACCTCCCTCAATCCCCTCCTGACTATCCTGCTCCAGCCACATCGTCTGGATGTTGTTACCAGGCTCATTCCTATCTCAGGCGCTTTGCTTTTTCTGCCGAAAGCCTCTCCCTCTGATTTTTGCATGACTGCCTCCTCATCATTCAGGCTTCATTTAAATGTGGCCTCCTCAGAGGGGCCCTCCCTGATCACTCTCCTCCATGCAGGGGCAAGGACAGTGGCAGAGGGGACCACCCTCCCATCCCCATCCCAACTCTAGTGCAAGTATGTGAGGGATGCAGTCACCAGCAGATCCCTCTTTCCCTACCCCACACGCTATTCATGCTGTGTACACAGAATACTGAATCCCCGCCCAGATCACACACACAACACATGGCACATACACACACACTGCCCACAATGTAGGGCTCATGCACACTCCATTCACCAAACACAAAATCTGCACCCCAACTTGAAACACACAACCCACATGCATACGTACTGTATACATCCCACACTGAGTGTGCACACAATGCAAACACGCAAGAGCACATGTACACAACACTCCCACTGGCCTCGCTGACAGGTGCGCACACACACGTGCACACAGGCGCCCCCTCTTCGTTCAGCAGCTGCCCACCCCCCTCCGACGAGAGAAGGGAACCAGCGGTGACCGGCGGGGTGCACCCACCACCTGGCACAGCGCTGCGGATTATTAGTTCCTGGTAATTTAGTGCCCTTGTACAGAGTCGATTTGTGCCTTTCATTCCTAATTGATCTAGTGGCTGTTTAAATGGCAGCAGGCATCTGTTGAGAGTAGGAAGGTTCATCAGGCGCAATAATTCATAACACCGTCTGGAATTTGCCTTTCGTGTCCCTCAGCTAAAGCGCTGCGAGCTCTGCTTAAATCACAGCCGCCGAGGCTTCCTTTGGTATTCTGCGCAGGGCCAGGAGAGGCTTGCATTAAACTGGGATCAGCTTAGATTAGACCATAATATGCTGCGGCATTAGTGGCTGCAAATGAAGACTTACGCTGGAGTTTAACCCTTCACCTGCTCACTCTTTGTTTTAGCCGACGGCTAAGCGAGCCGCGGTTTTCCCTGTCGGCTTCCTGGGGGGGCTGCATAGGTCTTCTAGAGATTTGGGGCCACAGATGGGCCACATTCAGATATCGACCCTTTTTTCCCTGCAGACAAAAACCCAGCCTGCAGGCCAGATGTTTATGCATCAGCTCTGAAAACAAGTGTGAGCAGGCAGTGTCCAGGGCAGGCCCTGCGAGCCAAGCAACCCGCCTGAAGTGGGCCCTGACTCCTCCCCCCACTGCCCCTGAGCCCGGGGAGAACGGCCAGCATATATGGGGGGCTAAGCACCTAGAAGTATGAGAACCCCAGAGTGGACAGGCTGGGAGGGTCCCCCCACCGGCCAGCACAGTGAGGCTGGGCGTCAGTCCTCCTTGCATTGTGTTTGATCACAGTGTGCCGGGGGAGCACCGTCCAGTGTATTTTCAAGTCTTGTGCTTTTCAGTGTGGCAGCCACCAGCGACATGAGGCTGTTTAAATTAACATCAGTTAAAATTAAATAAAGTAAAAAAACTCAGTGTCCTAGGCACAAGTCATCATTTTTAACCCCCACCCAAGGATATGTGTTTATTGATTTTTAGAGAGAAACATTGATGTGAAATAGAAACATTGATCTGCGGCCTCCCATATGCGCCCCAACCATGATCGAACCCACAACCTAGGTATGTGCCCTGACCAGGAATTGAACCTGCACCTCTTTGGTATACAGGACGATGCTCCAACCAACTGAGCCACCCAGCCAGGGCAACAGTCATATTTTAAATGCCCCTTGACTTCGACTAGTTAGTGGCTCTGTGTTGGAGGGCAGACCATGTAGAACATGTCCATGTGGCAGGAATGTTACTGGACAGTGCTGGCCAGAGCATCCCCTCTCGCAGAGGCCCAGGGGCCAGGCCTGACACATGCTTCCTCCTCTCCCAGCAGGCAGAGCTTAATCAAAAAGAAAGAGATAGGTTGTGTAGTCCCAGGGGACTGAGAAAGAGACCAGAGGGGGAGGTGCAGATGCTTTTTGGGACCACCATGGGAAGGAGGGGCCTCCAGGTCCAGTGTCAACAACCCGTGCAAACATATGCACACATACTGGGAGTTAAGACATAGTCATTCACACATGCTGCAGAGAAATAAGAGTGATATGTACTTATGTGTGCACACAGGTGTGCACGCATAACATATATGCATTCAGCAAATAGTTGTTGGGGTCCACATGCCTCCTCTAGACTCCGAACTGACTGTGGTGAATAAGGTAGGCTTGTGTCCTGCCCTTATGCAGCTCATATTCTAGTCAGGAAGGCAGGTGATAAAGCAAAGAGCTCAGGGAACCATCAGTGTAGTGTGAGGGGGGGGCAGTCAGAGGAACTTCCCAGAGAGGGTGGCGTCTTCACCAAGACCCACAGAGCCAGCGAGGTAAGCCCTCAGCTTACAGAATACATCACACAAATACCACCCGCTCACTCACATGCTCCTCATTCCCTAATTCATTGTCCGTCACTGAGTATTAAGTACCTGCTATGTGCATGCAGGGCAAGACCCTAAGGATACAAGGCTCATTAAGACAGGGACGGTCCTGGAGGACAACAGTGAGCAAATATGATGCAGATAATCAGGCGGTTACGGATGTGCTAGGTGTGGGATGATGGGAAAGTGCAGGGAGGTGATATTCCTGTGATTGGGTGTCTGACCTGAACTGAGTCAGCGAACAGATGCAGAGCAGGTGGAGACACCTGCCCGCCATGCGCAACCAGAATTCAGGCTCACACTCATCCCCTGTAAACACTCACAGACGCACAGGCACTGCCCGCAGCTGGCTCCAGACAGCTGAGAATGGGTGTCTGACCAACCGCTAATGTTCATGGTCGGGACTTGTCTGGATGCTACCCACACTTCCTTCCTGGGTTGACCTTAAACCAGAAAGGGACACCTACTTCTCTGAAGGGTTACACCCCTCACCCTCATCAGATACCCACGCAGGTTATCTTACCAAAGAGAAAAGGCAGGCGCCCGTGGGGAGGAGATCGCCCTCTACGCCCAGGGATGGGAGACTGGGTCTTCCCAGCAGGGCGTGAACTGCTGCCATCTGGGCTGACCGTGGGGACTGGGGGCGATCTCAGGAGTGGGGCCTTGGGAGAAGAAGTGCGGGGAGCATGGGGAAGGGGCCCTCATGGCTTCTGAGCCCAGCCGGCCGCAGGTTTCTGTGCGCATGTGTGAGCTCTTGCTGTCCCCACAGGCACCCTCTTTTCCCGCTTCTGACGCTGCTGTTTGAGAAATGTGAACAGGCCACCCAGGGCTCAGAGTGCATCACCTCCGCCAGCTTTGACGTGGACATCGAGAACTTTGTCCACCAGCAGGAGCAGGAGCACAAACCCTTCTTCAGCGATGACCCAGAACTGGACAATCTGGTAAAGACCCTCCCTCCCCACCCCGGCTAGGTTCTCCATCGCCTGTGGTCCCTCCCAGTGCCCTAGAAATGATCCTTTCATTCATTCAGCACAAAGTGTTGTGTGCCACTGTGGGCCAGGCCCTAGATGGTCCTCTAGCCACTGAGAACCATTTCTAAGGTCCCTACACCAAGAGCTGCAGGCACAGGTCTGGCTGCCTAAGCTCTCCCCTTCTCTGGTCTCTGCCCGCTGCACACATGCATCCCCTCCAGCCTCTTGCCATGCAGCCAGGAGGAGAGGGGGGGCGTGGCACCCAGAATGTCTGGGGCAGTGGTTCTGAGGGCTGGAGTCCTGGCACATTAGTAATTCACCAGGCCAGTGTGCTGCAGTGTCGAGGGTGAGGGGACAGGCACATTCAAGCACATCAGCAGATAGAGAGACCTAGAGACACAGTCCTATTGAGAATGAGGCCCGCGGATGTCCTGCCCATTTAGGGGGACGCAGGAGATCAGGCTTTCAAACCCAGTGTGTTACCCAGGTCATCACTGCAGCCTGCTGCTCTGTGCAGCCTGGACATGCCAGCAAGTGTCCGGCTCCGTGCTCCCCTTGCCAACACTCCCTGGGTCTCCAGGTCTGCTCACTCACGTATTCAGAGTTCTGATTCAGTCCAACAAACCTTGGTTAAGGGCCTGCCATGTGCCAAGCCTGCCCAGGGGAAGTGGGTGTTGTAGAAGCTGCCCCGGCAGCCCCAGCCCTCAGGTCACCGGACTGGGAGTGGTCTGGTTGGTGGAGTCGTCCTTGGACATCCCACCCCTCACATGGTCTGATTTACCCAGATGAGTAGCCACACTCCTGGTCAATCAATTATTTTATTTTTTTCTGTGATTTAAAATATTTTAAATTACAGTTTACATTCAGTATTATTTCGTATTATTATCGGGTATACCGCATAGTGGTTAGACAACCATCTACTTTACAAAGTGTCCCCCAATGATGGGTCAGTTGTTCCCATGGGGACAGTTGGAGGAGCACCTAGAGATGAAAGCCCGGGGCCGGCTTCCCTGTTCACCATCTGTGCGGCTTTGCTGACTTCACTGCTTCGAAGCTCGATTTCCTTGCCTGTAGATCCAATACACCCATCTCCAGTGACTGTAAAAAACACATGAGTGAGATGGCTTGTGGAACTAAATGGCCTTTAAGAACGCAGACCACCCAGAAGGTTCGTCTCAAGTGCAGTATCCTTACGCCAAGGCGTTCTAGCCTCCCAGCCCCGTCTCCCCAAAACTTTACTTGGGGAGCCAAGCAGTGCCCTTCGCCGCCCTCTTGCAGTAGGGAGCGGGAGGAAGAGGCCAACCACAGGAGCCGTCATTAGAACAGGAATCATGTAGCCAGCGCAGCCAAGATGCACATAATTAGAAATTAGAAAAAGGTCAGATCGCGTCATTATCAGCTCAATCAGCTGCCGAGTGCCACAGCCAGTTAATCTGGCATCTGTATTTTTTACAACCCCGCACACGTAGCCCAACGGACTGTAACTCTTTATCCGGACAGATATACTGCGCAGCAGAGCAGGGACATAAAATGAGAGACCCCGAGCCAATGAGCTGAGATAATTGAGAGATTTATTTTATATATATGTGCGTGTCAGGGCGGCTTTCTTCTGCCCTTGAATATTGACTTTCACAGATGAAATTGTCAGGAGGACACGGAGGTCCCCAAAACTTTGTCCCACCCTGGGATCTCAAGCTCTGATCCCTCTCCATGTCCCCCCAGCCCCACCAAGCCCACCACTGGGCATGACTCCTCCCACCTCTAGCTGCGCGCGCCCCTCCCCCCCCAAAAAAAACAACACCAATTTGCATGCAGTACCTTCCCCTCCTCCCAGAAAGTGTCCTGGACAGGTTCCCATGGGAACGCTGACTGAGCTCTCCTGGAGCTGCCCAAAGACCAGAGAGGTCCCCAGACTGCAGTTTCTGAGGGCACTGCCCTTCCTGGGAGCCAGCTGCTCCCACTGCACATGAGGAGACACAGCTGTGGAAAGAAGCAAGTCCATGTACAGATGAGACAGCACAGTCCAGAGAAGGGAAATTACTTGAGGACCAGGACCAGCCTATGGCTCCTCATATGCTCTCCCTCCACTGCATCACCCCTCCCTTCTCCCTGGGACAATAGAGTCCTACTTCCTAAGAGTACCCCCCACCCAGCCGCTGTGGCTCAGCAATTGAGCTTCGACATAATGAACCAGGAAGTCAGGGTTCGATTCCCCGTCAGGGCACATGCCAGGTTGCAGGCTTGATCCCCAGGAGGAGGCGTGCAGGAGGCAGCCAATCAATGATTCTCTTTCATCATTGAGGTTTTCATCTCTCCTTCTCTCTTCCTCTCTCTGAAATCAATAAAAATATATTTTTTAAAAAGAGGACCCCCACCAGGTCTCCCCCAATCCCCACACTCTGACCCTCTCTACCTCTCCTTTCCGACGCTGGTGGCTAGGCTGGGATGCCCCCAGTTAGTGCCATAGCCACTCTCCACGCCAATCCCCACTCCCGCCCTGTGCTCACCAGGCCTCTCTCTTACCTGCCTCCCAGTCCCCCGCTTGGGTCCAACCCCCTCTGACTGGCAGTTGGTAAAGTTTGTAAAATTTGCAAGTTCCCCAAACCCCTTTGAAAAGTAGAAGCTTTTTGTTTTATAAAATCTGATTTACGGGCCCCCAGTGCAGGGCCAAGGTTTTATATATTATGCAAGATTTCGAACCGAGGCTGTAAAACCTATGGTTTCAGTTTCATGCATGGAATTTTTTTATGTGTAAATTTTTTAACATTTATGGGGCACGTTTTAATGAGACTCTGGTGTGGCTCAAGGGACAGATTAGGGCTGCCTGGCCGCAAAGCCAGCTCCGAAATGGGGCCCCACAGGCCCCTGGGCCACGCTGAGGAGGCAGGGCCCGAGGCCGGAGCCATGGAGAGGAGGCAGGCCGGAGTTCCGGGCACGCAGAGGCCTCACCAGCCCCGCTCAGTCTCTCCCTCAGCCTTCAGTGCAGACTCCCTTCACCCAGACAGGAGCAGGAATCCTACAGACAGGAGAAAGGGAAAGGAAAAACCATCTAAGCTGGCAACAATGAGCATCTATAGAGCACTTGTTAAGTGCCAGCTGCTCTTCCAAACACTTTACATATAATTTCTCACTTAATCCTATTTCCAAACCCACAAGGCACATATTATTACTGTTATTCCCATTTTAAGACGAGGAGCTTGAGACACGAGGATGTCGCTAGCTCAAGGTCTAGCTCACGCTAGCACGCAGCAGAGGGAGCCACATGGCCACGCTACCCCTTCGCTCATCTTTCTTAGTTCTTTCTATGCACCAGCTCTTCTTTTTAGTTCTTTTCTGCCCACCTTTCATTCAATCCTCACTGTAACTCTGAGGGGGTCACTGTTGTTGTCCCATTTACAGAGGAGGAAAGTTGAGTGCAGAGACTGTGTAAACTGGCCAGGGCCTCTCAGCAGGTGGAAGACCCAGGACTCGGCCTCCAAAGCCCACTGCTCTGCCATTTGGTTCTCTCAGTGGTCCTGTCCACATTTTACAGAGGAGCTCAAGGCCTAAGAACCCAAAGTTACAGAGCTGGTATTTGTACCATATGGGTGTAACTCCAAAGCCCACCGCCTTCCTCGGCACCACACTCCTTCTCCGAATTGAGGAGAAGTGACCTGTTACTGACTTAAAAGTGTTTCACTTGTCATGCATGATGGCTTCCAGAAAATGTTCATCTGTCCCCCCATAATCTGGCAGTTCCCAGTCCCTGGTCTTCATCTTTCTTCCAAGTCTCATTTCTTGTTCCAATGACCTTACACTTACAACTGGTTGGGCAGAGCTGGGCGGGTCTGGAAAAATTCCTGATTAGATTTTAGCTTCGGCTGCCCTAATGACCCCCAGGAAATATCAGAGCTTGTGTGTTTATAAACTCCTTCCTCTGCAAGTGAGAGAGAACTGTCCCAGCTTCCCAGCTTACAGAGGAAGCGCCTCCTTAACTGCTGCATGCAACTTCGCAGGGCACCTCATCTCAGCCTTCATCCCTCATCTCCAGGGGAGACATGCCCCGTGGTTATGAGACTCAAATGAGATAATGGAGAGAAAAGCATTTTGCATCTTGTAAAGTGCTCTGTCTGTAATTGATTTGAAAGGCAAGATGTATTACCATCAAGTGAAGAGGCCGCGATCCTACAAGAGAGGCTACTTTTTAGGAGGAACTTGGTTGCGGGAGGGGCACGTTGGCATAAAGAACTGACATTTATCAAATAGCTACTCTGTTCCCAATGTATTTACATACATTATCTGATTCCATTTTCACAATAGCTCTACCGTGTAAGCATTGTCACCCTAAACTTGACAGAAAGTTTAAATGCTTGTCTGGAATACCCAGGCAGGAAATGAGCGATTTGGAGCATCATGCCACCTGACCTCATGGGAACCAGGAGCCCCATCCATGTTCTGTCCTGGGACCCCTGGGGCCACCTGACCTCGTGGAAATCAGGAGCCCCATCCATGTTCTGTCCTGGGACCCCTGGGGCCACCTGACCTCGTGGAAATCAGGAGCCCCATCCATGTTCTGTCCTGGGACCCCTGGGGCCACCTGACCTCATGGGAACCAGGAGCCCCATCCATGTTCTGTCCTGGGACCCCTGGGGCCACCTGACCTCATGGGAACCAGGAGCCCCATCCATGTTCTGCCCTGGGACCCCTGGGGCCACCTGACCTCATGGGAACCAGGAGCCCCATCCATGTTCTGCCCTGGGACCCCTGGGGCCACCTGACCTCATGGGAACCAGGAGCCCCATCCATGTTCTGTCCTGGGACCCCTGGGGCCACCTGACCTCATGGGAACCAGGAGCCCCATCCATGTTCTGACCTGGGACCCCTGGGGCCACCTGACCTCATGGGAACCAGGAGCCCCATCCATGTTCTGTCCTGGGACCCCTGGGGCCACGTGACCTCATGGGAACCAGGAGCCCCATCCATGTTCTGCC